CGTAAATATCGTGCGTTTGTTCATTTTTCCCTGTTTTCTACAGGGCTTGGAGTGGATGCCGGGGATGCAGTCTCAGTCTGATTGGAAACATCTAATTTCACCCAACGACTGAAAAAACAACATATTCTTCTCCAGCTGTTCTTGCCGAAACTGTTACCCACATCCCACACACGCACAGCACAACCCCCATGAAAAGAAGGGGGCCCAATTTGGATGATGCCAACTCTGAATGGTAAACAATGGTGCTGAAATGGCTGTGGCTCAAAAAAATGTAGCAAAGTGGCACCTTGGTACATGGCACCAAAGACTAAACCTGCGTAACCCTAGTTCTTCAATTTTGAGCCGCACCCAAATATGAACCCAACCTTTGTTTTACTGGTGGCCTGCCTGAAACTCAGCGTAAAGTCCCCGGCCCCTCCGTGGCCAGCTGGAGGCCCTCTCGCACCGCACTCCTCGAAAACGAGGTCGGCCCCGCGAAGTGAATTTGGACGCCCAAAACGAGCTGAGCACTGGCCGTCCGTTTTCAGATCCACTGCTAAAAGTTTAACTTTTGTGGGTTACGTGGAAATCCAACCAGTAACCACTAAAAATCTAAAAAGCTGAGGAACCGGATGGCTGCGAACCTCCAAGGAGTCATAGGTGTCCTTTTGGTTGAATATAGATGGCCCTGGGTACGAAATAACCAGGTCAACGAGGAATCGCTTTCTACGTTTCACCTAAAACAACCAAACAGGCCACCTATGTTCCTTGCGTCTGTGTACATGGGTGGCTCGTCTTGTTTAGGAATCGGAGCCCCGAAAAATGGTGCAGCTGCTTCGGTGTTCTTTTTGGTCTCCCTTTACACAATTCGAAAAAAGACCAGCCGCCCATAGATGTGTCCTTTTAGGAGACCCACTGAAATGGTTGGCATCGTTTGGGTACCCGCAGAACATGGGCCACACCCACCTTCCATTTCTTGCTGTGTATGTTTACATGTGGAGTATACACATATATAGTATCCACAAACGCCGATTTGTGGGGCATATGTAGGGCCTCAGTAGAAAAGGGGTGGAAAAAAGGACAACCTGGCATGCAAAAAGACATGTCCTGGCAAAAGGTTGGCATTTGTTTGTACGGGGCCGTCGAATTGTTCTCTTGTTCAGGTCCACGCTCTGCAATCAATGGCTCAGACTCTTTCACACACACACACCGGGCTTTTGATTTTATCCTGCCAGTCGGTGGCGTACAGGTTGCGGGGGACCGGGCCCCAAAAACCAAGGGAACAAGTGGAGAAAAAAATGGGGAGGGCAGGGGGGTACAAGCCCGAAATCTCATGTCAGCCAACACGTCCTCTTCAGCGATGTGTCGATCCTCGGTGGACAAGGCAAAGGACTTCGGAAAAGCATGGCATTGCTCCCCTGAAAAATTGACATGTGCCCTGGTCAAGAAGAGAAATGGGGTTCCGGGAACGTTCATGGACTCCTCGAGACGCAAATTGAGTAACTTAGACAACCCCTGGGAATGATCATGAAGAGCACCATCCAGGCCTCAAGGGGGTTTCCCCTCACAGATTGACAATCTTCGGTGGACCAGATGGACGAAGCCCGATGAATGCTGGCATACACCACCCAACTGGTGCGTTGGTTGCCTTTCAAATCAGCAAAAAAAAAAGAAACGACAATGTAAAAAAGTCTCATCTTCTGCAAGTCTCGTGGCAAATCCCCCAACTGTCCAACCCAACTGTCCAAATGATGTAGACGTCCCGCTCCATTGAGGTCGACGCCTTCTTTTCTCCACCCAAAAACGCAGGCCGGTTGGCCGGTTGGCCGGAGCGTCGACTCATGTTGCTCTCACGGCATGCCAGCGGACAAAGGGAAACCGCTGGCAACCCGTTGGTTCCACAACTGGAAAGCGGCACTGATTAAAATTTAGGCCTTGCAATGCCCAAGTTTCGCACACCCTCGCCGACGAAACCGGTGAACCAACCCTCGCTTAAGCATGCTCAAACCACAGGTGCTGAACTGTTGCTGAAGCGTAGGTGCCTCATGCAATTGCTGAGTCAGACTTTGTCTAGTGCAGCGTCGACAAGCGGAGCACGGTTTTCTGGGTCAGCTTCACGAGCCCTTCGTCAGCTTAAAGACGGCCAACTGCCATAGAGGAGCTCCATCCGAAACAAGGATTGACCAACAAACAATGAGATCACAGTGCTCGTTTTTGCGCCACTACGGGTTAAAAGAGAAACCAAAAACAAAACAAAAAACGCGAAATCCATGCTGCAGAGTCCGATTGCTAGAAGAAGACGAGGGTCCCAGACGGTCTTCCCAACAAGGTGACTCGAAGACCCAGACCTGGGGGAGTGCGTCGCGCTCTCAAACCCATCGGGGCCCCCGGCAGGAACCACAGCGGCCCTGACACGCGGTCGCTCCACAGCGGCAGGGCCTGTCAGCGAAAAAAAACGGCGTCGAGCCGCGTCAGCAAGGTGGTTGGTCGTCTAGTGGTTTGCCCCTTTTGGGTTTGGGCGGTGTGTTGTAGAGTCACCTATCCAAAAAGCCGATCAGGAGAGGGATGTTTGGGCTGGAGAGCCGTTCAGGAGAGGCAGGCCCTGTCAATTGCTATCTCTCCATGGGTGGGCGTGTCTCTTTTCTTTTGCGGGAAGCCCGCCCTCCCAGAAAAACATGTTGTTCTCCTTTTGACTCCCTTCAAAACCGCACAAAAGGAGTAGTCCCAAGAAGAGACACACTCATATAGACATGAGGGTGGCTGAACGAGCGTCACCCGTAAATTCCTTGCTGCTGCCTTTCGCTAGGATTCAAGTGCAGAGGGTGAAATTTGTTTGGGAGATAAGGGCTGAGGGCATAAAGATTTTGTGGATGTTCGGTAGGTGTTTAGGCTTTACAGGGCGATTCTTGGTTAGAAGCAGCCAAAGCACATTGAAAGCAAGCTGGGGCGTGTGCGCACGCTTGGTTTCCGTCAAGTGCCACTCGGCTTTACATAACTTGTTTGGTCACCACCAAAAGCTGAAGCCTCTCAACTCTTAACAAAAACCCTGTCAAACTCCACCCCCAATTTTGCCTCCACCCCAACCTCCAACCCGCCAGATTCCCCCAACCCCTATCCCCCTCATCCATTCCCCCCCCGTCTGAGAACTGCATGATAGATACTTAAACTCCCATTGTGCAACCACCTTCCTTCTTGGTTTTTTAAAGTTCCTGGTGGCAAAAAATCGACTCTGGTCTAGGTCCTCCAGTAGAGAGGTTAGAATAAGGGTACCCGATTCTTTTTTTGTCTGTTCTCCTACCCCCCAAAAGAAGTTGGGTGAGAAAGGGCACTACTGGGGGACCTGGTTGCAAAAACTCGACTCTGGGAGTCCATGGCACACCCGCTCCGCGAGTTCACGGAGCCGCTTGGGCGCCCCGGCGAGGCGCTCCCCATCCGCGAAGGCGCCCGAGGGGATGACCTCCGTGGGCGGATGCACCTCGCAGACGACGTGACTCGGAGACTCGAAAACCAACTCGAGCCGCTCCATCACTTCCTTAGACTTCTAGTCGGTTGGCGGGGGTCCATTTGCTTTGTTAGGTTTCTAGTTGGTTAGTTGGTTGGTTGTTTCCATCACTTTCTTAGGCCAGGTCCTCCAGTAGAGAGGTTAGGGTTTAGGGTACCAACTTACCGGGGGCACCGGAAAAAAGGGGGAATAAAGAAGAAAAAAAAACAACTCCTTGAACGCAGGGGGCCAAAGGCATCTCGGCAAGGAGCTGGAAGACCTTCCACTCCTCAAGCCCCTCGAGTCCTATGGTTCAACGTGCGCATTGCCCCTAATAGAAAGGCGAGCACACAATAAATGTTGAGAAATAAGTATGGACTTGTTTTGGCCAACCCGTTCCCGGTTCATATTATGATATGGTTCCAACAGCTCAAGTCAACAAAATGGGTGTGGGTCAAAATTAGTCGACACCAGGAATCGGACCGCAGGTAAAATGTCTTTGGTTCCATGTACCAGGGCAAGCCATTTTGGGGTTACCCTAGTTTTGACCCACAGCCAAATGTTGAAAAGTGAGCCCCACCATCTTGTCTTACTTGTCTTACTGGCCTGCCGCGGAGAACCCCAATGAAAGCATGCCACAGTTGGACCGGGGAGAAAGGTACCAACGTTTTGCAGGACGTCTATGTTAGTAGGGGAACCCTCCCAACCAAAAAAAGGGGTGAGAAAGGACACCCGGCTGGGAGGGAGACTGCTCCACTCACTTGAGCCCAACCCGCCCAAACCCCGCTCGAGGCCCCAGCTCTCTTCAAGGTGACGACCACCGGAGCCTCGGCCACCTGCGACTTTTTTCGCCAAGCGAAACGTGGCCATGACCCCCAGAGTCAGATGGTGAGGTGCCGCTTGGCTTCCCCAATAGCGACTTGTTTGAGACATGGAAGTGGGTCAAAATCCAAATCGTACCCCCAGTGAACATCCCAATCCCCACTAAAATAGACTAAAATGGGTGGTCAAGATGGTAGCATTGGTTTTGACCCACAGCCATATGCCCATGCATCAGAACCATCACTCCCTTCAAAACAGGCAGCTTCACATTGGCGTCCTTTTGCTGTCATCCAACTGGAAGCCCACTTCGCCCCGCCAAGACTTCTCTGGAGGAATACTGGCTGTGCACAGCCGGCAGCTTCGACAAATATCGAATCGTGGCTTCCTGGTGCTGATGCGAGTCGCGGCGAGACATAAGAGATTTGAGGCTATTGGGGTGTGTACCCCCCCTAGCCTAGGTCCTCCAGTAGAAAGGTTAGAACAAGGGTACCCTTTTTTCTCTAGTCTATTTTAGTAGGGGAACCCTCCCCAAAAAAAGGGTAAAAGGGCACTACTGGGGACCTAGCGGGCCACTTCATCCGCTGAGTGGCATGTTGCTTTGTCTACTTGGCGTCCACAAGCCTCCAAAAAGCAAAGCCCCCCCCCATCTCGTTGGGACTTGTCAGATAGGTGTAATCCTTCAAAACGTCACGCACCGGAAGCAGGTCCGGAAGCAGGA